AAAACCTGCCTCCTGTCACATTCCTCCATTTAAAAAGATTGCAGATAACGGATTTAGTTTTCCATGTCCCTTCCAGATGTGGAGACCAGTGATCTCCAGCAATGCCAGTCTGGGCCCTAGCTGACCAGTCTGAAAGGGACTTTGTTGCTGCACAGCCTACAGGAAGTGTCGATGTCACCAGGACAGCTACATGGGTCATCAATTCTGCACCAACAAAAAAAGGTAGAAGACTAAAGACATAAAGCACAACAACGTGATCATGGATTTAGGTGTTTTGACCCTTTAGATTTTTGTAACTAACTCATTGATTAGTTTGAGGTGAAGGGGAAGTGCAAAGGTGGGTTGGATAAGTTGAATGCCTGAAAAAGAGCTTTAAAGCAGTGTGGTGTCCAACCTTTTGACTTTTCTGGGACACATTGAAAAAAGATGAATTGTCTTGGGCCACACATATAACAATACACTAACAATAAGCATAGCTGGTGAGCAGAAAAAGTCGGGCAGATCCCAAGTTAACAATCACTGATGTAGATAATATGTACCTATCTGAGTAGCAAAAATTAATTTTTTGTGTAATATTTTTTACTATAAAAGTAAAAGGGAGAGCAACCTAAAACGAGTGTGATATTTGACAGTTTTTGATACAGGGAAAAAATGAGGAAGGGTTGTAATAACAGCGCACAAACACTGCAAAGTCCTGGGAAATAGTAGTATGGGGTGATCGTGTGGTATTAGTGGCTACTGTATGAAGAGCGTAGGATTCCGTGTGTGGCACTGAGGGCAAGGCTTCCAAATAAGCTGTAGCAACTTCTGTAGATGAGAAAAAGGAGAGAAGCGCCTCTAAAGTGCAATAAGTCTTTTTATTCAAGTCTAAATGTAGATACACTCACATGTGTGAAGTAATCATAAGCTTAAAAAACCGTGGTTAACAATGTTAACAGTGGGGTGGTAACCGGGTGTGAAGAGCCGTCATCTTACTGCGATGTGTGGGGAGGTCAGCTCTCAGCTGGAACAGCGGTGAGGGCCGGCCGGCGTGCACGTCCTCCCTCAGAGCCGGATGGAAACGCACGCTGGAAACGTATGTTAGCGGCGGCATGGCCATGATGACGTCAGATCCCAGGGTGCACACTGCGACGCGTTTCGGGAGCATGCACAGGCCGTGGAAGGCGGAAGTGCGCTCTTTTTCAAAGCAGTTTTGGATAAACTAACGCATCAATATCTGGTTAGATGGGATGTAGTGGCAATTCTCAATGAATTCTCAAGGTGCTCATCATCAGATATTTTGGTTTTAATATTGCCCTTCATGTTCTTCATCCTTGAAAATAGTGCTCACGCAAATATAGGTGCTGCTGAAAACTGAATGAAATTGAATAAGGCGTGATTGTGAAGAGTGGGATATATTTTTTGGGGGTAGAAGATAAACACAAATATAAAAGTCCAGTAAAAAAGACACTGTGTTAGGAATGGACTGGCCAGCAATGGTGGACTAACTCACCTGCTTTTGATCTGCAGTACCATGGGCTGGGCCAGCGGGTGCTCCCAGCAATCAGAGACTCAAACCTTTCAAGCCCAGCTAACACCTGGAACTGATGATGCTGGGGTATTAAGGGATGGCCAAGACCCACAGACTCTGCCTTGGGTGTTGTGTTTGTCCTGGGCCCCCTGTATCTGTCCTGCATCCTGTTTCAGGTCCCTCTGGCCTGACCCTCTGTACTACGCTGCTTGTTATGACCTGTTTTGATCTCTGGCTTGTGACCCTGACCATCCCTCTGACCTGACCCTCTGTACTACGCTGCTTGCTACCTGCTGAACCTGGCCTGTGAGCCCCGACCATTCTCTGCTTGCTCCCCCTTACCTACCTGCCACAATTGATATTGACCCGGCCTGCTGACGACGCTTGCTTGTATGTACGGTTATCTGTGGGTGGTTTGTGTTTGGTTTGTTTGCACTGTATTATGTTTAGTATTGCCTGCGTTTATGTTTTGTATGGTTAGTGTTAATAAATTTGTATGCCTTTATCACATCATACATCTGAAAGTCTGCGTTTCCCTGCATCAGTCACACACCTCTGGTCACACCTGGGAGCCCTGGGTACTCATTACAAACCAAGGCCAATCCTGACCCAGAAGTGGCATGCACAGGGAAGAACCATCCTGGTCTTGTTAGATGGGAAGGATGGATCTTGATTGAGGTTGAATATTTATATCTGCTTAGTGTTTGAGGACTAGGGAGTATGCTTATCTCAAACTCTGAAGGAGTATATCCCGGGATGAACTGCTAGAATGTATACCGTGGCTTTCGCTCGTCAATGTTCTAGTAGATCAGGGAACAGAGTTCTACTCAGGTGCAGCCTTTGATTGAGGTTTGTGCTGAGTTGGTTTCATCCCTGGTTCCCCCGTCGAATGCAGGGATGAATATTTGCCACCCATTTTAGTGCAGACCAGGTAGAGTCCCTGGTTTGGTTATTAGAAGGACTGATGTGGGTTACTTTCTGGAGCGTTATTCCACATGTTCACCAGACACAGACACTAAGAGATTGTATAAAAAACGCCGTGTACCGGTCATTGACCATAGGACAGGCTTTGTGTAAGCTCAAAGCTTTTTGTTCAGAACCCATACTGTCACGTAGACATGGACAGATTTGCCCCTTGCACGCCCCGCCAGACTCAGTCAGCTTACCCACGAAGACTCCATTCTGCTTCTAATCTACTTTCCTCATTCCACTCTCTATCTTCCTGCAGAATTCACAAGTGCCCTCTTCTAGCTTGGCACCTGCTATCCTACCCGCTAATGTCAGTACCCTGTGTCCCACTCGTGCAACCTATCCCTGCCTTTATTGAAACCGACTTAAAGGGCCCTCTGACTGTAACCAGACTCTGCCCTAACTCCTGCCGAGCGTCGCCATCCTCCAGTTCTTCTCTGTCTCCAGCTGCTTGCTCTGCGTCGTTTGCAGACCTAGGTTTACTAGCTGCAGTGACCCCCCCAGTTTATAAAAACCAGAAAAACTCGACCGAAAATTCATTTACAACACAATACCAATCCTGGCCAGTATCCCAACCCGGTGAGCCCCTGCCTTCCGTGGTTCACCCTGTCGAGCCCTCTACTCAGATCCCTGTAAAGCACTCTACTCAGCAATCTGAACCTCCTCAGCCTGAATTTTCACTCTACTCAGCCTGATAGCCTCTTCACTCAGCCTGATGACCTTCTCTTTCAGATTCCTGTACCCGGTACGCAGTCCCTGATGCAGCTGTACATCAGCCTGGATGCTATCTTCAAGATAACTGAATGCCTCTACGTCTGCAGCCTGATGCCTCTACTCACGGCCTGATGCCTCCGTACTCGGACACCTGAATGCCTAGTACTACTCGGCCTCGTGAACCTCTCTCACTCGGACTCTGACCTGATGCCTACTACTGCGGCCTGGTGCCCGCATACTCATCTCTCTGATAAGACCTCTACTCGGCCTATGTTACTAAACTACGGCGAAGCCTTCTACTCGGCCTGAAGGCCATCTAACATCGCCTGAAGACCTCTACTCGGCCTCGATATCCTCACTGTCAAACTCGGCCTGATGCAGCTTCTGTACTCAGGCCTGATGCCATTCTTTCTACTCGCACCCGCACCCCCTGCAAACTAATTAGGCCTCTAACTAATCGATCGCACTCCAGCAAAGATAACTTCTACTGCGGCCCTGAAGCCTCAAATCAAGCCGGACGCCTAGGTCATTCAGCCCTGATGCCGTCTACCCATGTCAACATGACCATGAAACTGATCACCAAGCCTGACGATCCTAATAAGGCCAGTTGACTCGATGCTCCGCTGTTGATCCCCATGATCAACTCGGTATCCCAATCCTGGTGCCCGCTGGCACGAGCCAAAATGACCTGAATGCCTGGTGACCCATGTCCCGCTGACATACACTGGTGACTACCCGAATGCCTCCTCGCTAAAATCATCGCAGAACAATAAAAAGGTAACAAAAATGAACCACCCGTGCCACTAAAGATATGCCTAATTGAACTACCCATATCACCTCACCATGCTTGCCTAAATGACGCCTTCAGTAGCACTCCCGCTCGAAAGGACCCAAATTCACCCTGATATTCTTACAGTCACCCAGAGTCAATAATCTACCCATCCAGAGCTAATCCGATCTCCAACGGAACATGACACCAACGATGCAGGGGGCTAGTGCCTGGGGGGGTAGGGCCCACCCAATAAAATAACCACCCAATCAGCGCACGACGCAGTTGACCGCTAGTTGCCCCCCATACCAACTGTAGGACACCCCTAAATGTTGCAACTGAAGCAGACTCCTAATAACCTGCCTAAATACAAGCCAAATAGAACTGATGCAAACTGGCCACACCCCAACCACTTCCTCCCCCCCCCTCTTACCTGGTACACCACAGATGTCCCGCTCTCAACCAGAGCAGGGACCATCCATATGTCATTGACAGCGCAGTGCCAATCAGCCGGTCATTCCCAGATTGACTCGAGATGCCCACTTACGGTCAGTGAACCTCGTGTCTCGCGTTGCCACCACGTAACGCCTCCGCGCTGGTGGGCTCCGGAACGTGGGCTGTATTGCATGCCTTGGTGGTCCGCGCGCCCGCAGACGATCCGCCTGAGGATGTCCGAGTGACCCATTGCCCGCGCCCTCCGCCTATGGTAGCCAGACGCTGCAATCGCCTGACGCCATTGGCCTCGAGGATGCAAACGAGTAGACTGTCGCTACTATCGCCCGGGGAGTCCGCACCTTGCACCGATGACGCGGTGCCCGCTGTAAGCGGCCCAACGTCATGTCCGCAAATCTGCCTGGGGGTCTTCAAGCCCGGCCCCGCGCTCCGCCGTGACGGCCCGATGAACCTCGCCCCAATCTTCGAGGTCCCGGCGCCCGCTCAGTTTGACCTGGAGCCCGAGACCTGTCTCATCCTCACTGGGTGGTCCGGCGCACCCGCCGCTTTCCGAACCGCCTGATGGGCCCGAGACCTGTCGCTCCGCTCAGAGCTGGGGGTCGACGGCGCCCGCCGCATTCCGCTCCTTGAGGGCCCGAGACCTGTTCGCTCTCCGCCTGTTGGAGTTCCGGCGCCCGCTCTACGCTCCGCCTGAGGGCCCGAGACCTGTCGCTCCATCTGGAGGGTCCGGCGCCCGCCCGCTCCTCGCTATCCGCCTGCGTAGCCGGGCCCGAGACGGTCCTGACCGCTGCTCCAATACTGGGGTGTCCGGCGCCCGCGCGCACCGCCTGAGGCGCCCGAGACCTGTTCTCGCTGCACCACCTGGGGGTCCGGCGCCCCCTCGGCCCGCTCCGCGCTGAGGCCCGAGACCTGTTCGCTCCATCCTTGGAGGTCCCGGCGCCAGCCGCTCGCCGCGCTGTGGGCCTGCCTGAGGGCACCGAGACCTGTACGCTCCCTCCTGGGGGTCACGGCGCCCGCCGGCTCCGCCCTGAGGCGCCCTCGGGTGCCATGGCTGCTCCGCCCAGTGCGCCGCGGTGCCCTGCTGCTCCGCCCGGGGCACCGGGTGCACTGCTTGCTCTGCCGCCTGGGAACTCCAGGTGCCGTGCCTGGCACTGCCCTTGGGTGCCCGTGTATTGCTGCACTGTTGCCGCCAGGGGGCCCCGATAGCCTCTTGTCGCCCCCGCCCGGGGGCCCGGTGCCTGGCTGCTACCCGCCCGGGGGGCCCGGTTGCCCTGCTGCTCTCCGCCTGGTGGCGCCGCTGCCTGCTGCTCTGTCGCAGCTCCGTAATGCCGATATGGCCCTCTGCCTGCCGATCTCGCTGGTTATCGATTTGCACTCTGCCCGGTAGTCCTGCCCGATGTGGCCGTGCTGCCCCGATTGTGCGCTCTGCCCAGAGATCCTGCCCACAGATGTGCCATCTGCGACCGATTGGTGCCCTCTGCCCGGTGGTGCCCTCTAGCCTCGGTGTGCCTCTCTGCCCGGAGTCCAGCCCAGGTGTGCCATCTCGCCCGGACTACGTCCATCCCAGGGTGTGCCGCTGCGCAACGTGAGTCCTGCCCTGCCCGGTTGTGCCCAGGTCTTTTTGATATCCCGCCTATCGTCTTACCAGACCCGGGCGGTGGAACATTTTCGGCCCAGCCTAGGGACTTGTTTGGAGCTCCTGATGGCCGCTCCTTGGGGGGGGGGGGTACTGTTAGGCAATGGACCTGTCCAGGCAATGGTGGGGACTGCACCATGCCTTTTGATCTGCAGAACCAGTGGCTGGCCATCGGGTTGCTCCCAAGCCATATCAAGAGACTCACAGACTATCAGCCAGCCACTAACACCTGGGAACTCTGATGAATGACTGGAGGTAATTTAAGGGCATGGCCAGACCACACTAGACTCTGCTCAATGGTGTTGTGTTTGTCCGGGGAGCACACACTGTTATCTGTGTCCTTGCCTTCCTGTTTCTGTCCCGCATGCCTGACCGACTCTGTACCTACCTCACTCGCTAGCTATGTTATCCTGTTTTGGAATCACTGTGCTTGTGACCCTGACCATCCCCTCTCTGCCTGACCCTCTGTACTACGCTGCTTGCTACCTGACGCTGAACGCTGGCCATGTGACCCACCGACCATTACTTCTGCTTTGCCCTACCCCCTGTTAACCTACGCCTGCCCAATTGATATTGACCCCCACGGCCTGACCTGAACGACGCTTAGCTTGTATGTTACTGTTTATCTGTGCAGGAGGTTTGGTTTGGTTTTGATTTGCCACTGTAATTATGTTTAGTATTGCACATGCTGTTTATAGTTTGTATGGTTAAGTGTTAATAAATTGTATTTGCTTTATCACATATCTGAAGGTTCTGCATTTCCCTGCACACAGTCACTCACTCTGGTCACCCCTGGGTAGCCAATGACACACCTGTCAGTCACGTTTTTGCTTCGGCCACATGTGTTTGCAATAATGTTTAAGCAACCTATTTTAAATAAAAAAAAAAATCCCCCAACAATATCAAAATTTTTTTAAGTAGAGTTTTACAATTTTGGAGTTTGTGACTGCTATGTCATAGACATCAATTGGGGGGGTCCAGCATGCACGTCCTGTGGTCGACAGGGTTGGACCCCCCACTGCTTTTAAGTGCATATCTATAGACGACAAAATTATTTTATGTATATTTGATTTTTGATTGTATTTTCTCTATCTTATTGAGGCTCAATCCTGGAACAAAATATATGCCGCTAAGTAACATAATTCTACCCAATTTAAATAAAAATCCATAAATTGATCTAGATCTAAATACTTTTCCACAGATAATTTTATTAATTATGGAGGGGGGGGGGGATAGACCAAAGTAAATCGCTGCTCCATGAAAGAGAATTACAGCTCAGGAGCAATTTTAAATTTTTGAAACGCTACTGGGAGTCAACAGACAATTTGCTCGCACAGGATAAAAACACAGCAAATGGTAAAAAAATCTTCACTTTTTTTCAATACTCTGGAAAGAGAGTGGTGATTGGGTAGCAAGTTTTATTTTTTCTAGACACACACAGAATGGTTTTAGCAATTCCGTTAATTTGGAAGCTTGCAAAATCCCTTTGGATTTAATTACAAAAACAAATTGAGCTGTTCCATATTTGTCATTAATTTAAGTCCGCATAATTAAAATAGCATATATCGTTTATTTTTAAATCCCATATAGGGTTGTTTTTTTATTTTTTTTTTTTTTTGTTCTTTTTTTTTTTTTTTTTTTTTATTTTTTGTTTATTTTTTTTTAAAATGAGATTGGGTTTTATCTTCTATACTACATTGTTACTGGCCTTTAACTTTTGTTAACTATTTTGCGGAATGGCACTGCAGGATATACCTTCTTGACTCTCAAAGATTTTTTTTTTTTTTTAAAAAGCTAGTAATTGTTAATAAAAAGAGAAACCATATGTGATTAACATCTTTGACTACAAAATATGTGTATGCTATCCTTAGTGTATTTTAACAGAGATGCCCAGAAAGAGGCTACAGGGCTCTTTACATAGATTAAACCTTTTAAAATATATGAGTATCTGCATAATTATAAGTTGCGCACTCTCAGGCATTCCTGAGAAAATAAAGTTTAATCCATGCATAAATGGCTCCTACTATTGAAATCACATGTTAGCTATAAAATGTTGCAAGGGCACTCTTCGATTCACATGTGCTTGTGTTGCGGGCAGAATCTCTCATGTAAGAAAAAATGTCTAGGTCAGGAACCGAAATCATATATATGCTTGTGTTTATGGTTCATGAAATATTATATTCAGATTATGTACAACTTTATAATTGCTTTTTTTTATCTTAAATCATGAGTTTTGTTAAATTTACAATAACATTCATTTTCACATTTTGGGAAAAAATAGGACAAAGAATACACCAAATAAGCCTCCAACATTGCTCTTTGCTTTCATCATAATACAATCTGGACCTGACATTTCTATCTTTTTGTCGCGTGTCAATCCGATAGAGATACTTGAGGCACAATATATATTGGACTAATGTTCCATGCTACATTTTTGGTTGTAAATAAGACAAAAATGTTGGGAAATAATTGTAAAACTTATCCCAAAGCAAAGCATGTAGACTAAAGCCTAAATTATATAAAGCTTTGCTCTATGACTATCGCAACCTTAATAAGTAAATGGCGCAGAGGCGAAAAAAGAAAAAGAAAAAACACAATATTCAGTATCTTTGCAAAGCTATGCGCATTTCCCCATGTTTCTTATACTCATTTAAAGACATTGCACAAATACAAAATTATACCTGCTGATTCTTGGCAGAGATTATAACATTACTTCAAGGATAATCTCTTATTGGCATTACCTAGTAGAGGATTCAGGGGAAAACAATTTCTAGACCTCTCCATGGTCTCTTAGACACATTGATATATGGTCTAGCTGTTCTAGGTAAGTTAAGCCCACCAAATAGATGGGAAAAAAAGACTATTGTTTAACTATTTATATGCTAGACACCGCTTCCCCAGAACTGACCAGATTGACACTAAAGACATCTATAGCATCGGGATCATCTAATGGTCAGTAACGGGAAACAGACCTAATCTCCAGAATTAGTCTATATGTGATCATACTCCTTCTTTTTTGGTTTCTCTCCTTTTGTGTTCACATATGGAACATCTTTGTGGCTACGATTCAGACAAGTGAATTGAGGGGGAAGGAAGTTGTCAGGCACTGTTGAGAGGATTCATATTAAAACTCACCATGTATTCAGAAACGATGAAACTGTCTCTGAACTTGTTTACTAAAATTGGGGGTCTCGTATGCTCAGTAATGGGACAGGTTCGTCCAGCGCCAGGTCATAGGTTGTGTAAAACTGCACCCCCCGCCTAATGTCATGTCAAAGACATGGTGAAATCCACATTCTGTCCATTCTTTGCCCCTTGCCCAACTGCCCATGGTTGGTTGGAGTGTGAAAAGCCAACATTTGCTTTTTTGTGGTTAGCGACAGTTGCATATTCTGGTTTGTTTTTGTGTCCGAGGTAGGCGAGGGTTTGGAGAGGGGTTTTTTTGGGCAAAGAACGTGACCCCAGTAGTGCGTGTAGAAATTTAAACGTGAATCCTGGTGTACCCACTGATCTGTCCGTCATATGGTGAAGGGGCCCCTCCTCTACGCTGCACCCTGGGCGGCTGCCCCCTCCTGCCCCCCCTTGTCCCAGCCGGGGCCCGTAGGTTGAAAGGAGCATGTTATAAAGAGACCCTTGCTCCCAATAGCATATGTTGCCTTGAAAAAAATAAGCCAAAAAACAAGATACGAGCTTGTATGAAAGGGGTTTCATTCATGTTGGTAAGACGCATAATATGTAAAAAGGCCTGCCCTTCCCCCATCTTCATTGCAAACACATGCAATTGACCAATGTTTTAGTAGACATTTTGAAAGGTTGTTTGTTAAAAGGGTATGAAAGTTTTTAGGGGGTTTTTTTTATATACTGTCAAAACCGCAGTACAGTGTCCCATAGTGACATGGTTTTTGGGGGGTGATGAAGTTTTTTTTTTTTTCAAAATGATTGTTTTTACCCCCAAAAAGGCTGTAAAGCAAACATTTCCTTTGACTGCATTCTTTCAAAAACCCTTGGAATACTGTGTGAGCTGTGATTGGGCAAGCTTGCACATGGTACGGTGTTGTGAAAAAGCCTTGTACCATGTGACCTTTGTCATTCACAGTTTCACAGGTGTAAGAATGTCGTAAGATGACATTTTGCTTTTTTATCTTCATGTGATCATGATTTGGGCCCAAACAGTGTCACATGTGGGGCTTCACACAGGGACCCGTACAACGTTGTGTTTCACTGTGTCCGGAGGACCAGTGGGCACTGGATCGCGGTGATGCCGCTCCCCGGGAGAGTGCCAAGCAGGGGTGGGGAGGCCCTTTATAAACGAAAAACCCCCCCCCCCCCGCACTGCTCCCCTCCAGCGAGTTATATACAATTGGCCGGACGTGAAATGGTTAAAGTAGAAATTGCAAAAAATTTTTTTTTTTTCATTTTAATTTGAGCAAAGGAGGGTTGTAACCCCGTCAGATTGTTTTTTCCTACT